TAAAAACCGCAATAAGTGTTGAGCAGAATAAAATGGACCCTCACCTACGAGGCGAGGCGAGGCGAGGGAGCAGGTGAACGGGGCGGAACGGCGGCGCTCTCCTGGCGCAGAGGAACTGGCTTCGCCCTGGGCGAACGCGGGTGAATGCCGGGCGCCGCGCCCCGGGATCGCATCCCTCCGCGGCCGCGCTCGCGCCCGCGCCCGCTCCGTCGCCCTGGGCTTCGCCCCACCTGCATTGGGCGTTACCATTTTGCTCATGAAAGTTCCATTCGAGGGAAACGTATTTCGTGCGAATCCGGTTACTAGTGGAAAACGATCAACGTATGCAGTGCTAAGACAAAGTGACATTTAGTGATCAAATAGCTTCCAACGTGGCTTTCATTGTGTACCCCTTTATGGACTTGTGAGCCTATAGATTGAGAATTGGGGATTCACATCAGTGGGCATGTGTTTGTGTTCGCGTAGACTCCATGCTGTAGGAACACGTGTGGCTGTGCGTTATCAGTTGACAAAGAGTCGCAATGGAGAGATGTTATCAGTGGCTGACTGGACCGTCGCACATTTATTGCTTTGGCTTGTGAATTGTATTGAAAATGCAAATGTAGTCTCGCAAGTAATTATGCAGATGATTTATACAGCTATTTGAGGTTTCTTAAAATATGCAGTTGCTTTAAAAAAAACATGGAAATGAATGAACTTACGAAAACGGCTCTCACAAGAGGAGTCTCACAAATGTGTGGTGAAAGTGAGTTAACTCTTTCGTTATGAGATACTGTGCATTTCCTGTACTTCTCTTGCTCGTTGTGGGCGCACGAAAAATGTGAGAGAATTGTCTCTGCTTCCCCTGGCCCCTTTATTCCATTTCTTCTGCTCTCATTTATACTTATCTAGTGTATGTGTAAAGCTTATGTTAATAGCAGCTGCCTAATCATTTCTACAACAAGTACTAATGACGTACTATTTAGCACAATTTTGAAAGTAGTACAGAAGGCACTCTTGCTGTGAATACGCTTTCATTTATTACGATGTACCGTATAATAATATGTAGATAAAAAATATACAATATTGTTAGGTCTATATATATAAAACCTTATTTTATTTACCATATTTATCCTCTGAAATTTTTGATACAAGATGTTTGAAAGTATTAGTTCGAAATATTGTAAAGCAATACATTACAAGCAAATATACAATATTACAAATATTGTAAAGCAATACATATAATTTTTATGCATTAATATATGAACAATTGAGCGTACACTTTTGAAAATTCAGATGTAATTGCTTTCTACATATTTGTTCGCTGTTCTTAATGTTGAAATTAACGTCTTTCTTCATTCAGGAAATGCATGATTTTACTATCTTTCAAAGACCGATGTGTTGATTTTCATTTGGATTTATTCTTGCTTCTCCTTTTTAAAGAAATAACGTAGATAGTAGCGTACCAAATGGGGCTTACGGGATCAAAGACCTATAAAGTCAACATGTTTTGTAATATTATTTATTATTAAAAAATAACATATATAGATCTTATCACATCAGCAATAGTTCGTACCTTTGTTTCTTCAAGCTCATAAAAACACTATGTCAAAAATGTTTATGAGGGGATCCGAACTGGAGTTGGCTACTTTTGGATCCGCCAGTAGGTGTAGGGTAGGCTGTGGGGAGGGGGACTGTAAGGGAGGACAGTGGGTAGTCGCGGGGCCGGAAGGTGGCAAGGCAGCGCGCCCGCCCACCCGCCCCGCCAGCGCCCACACGCCCCTGCGCACGCCCCTGCCTTCGGAATCCCGCCCGGCCTTTCTACTGGGAGTTTTCGCTTTCAAATTTTCTTAAAGCAATGTTATCGCACATGAACAAGTAACGATTTTTTCTCTTCAGAATCCAATATTGAAATTCTATACAGGTGCGAAGATGGATCCTCCATTACAAGAGAGTTATCAAAATCAGTCTTGAGTGTTTGATGGTTGGGTGATACTTGACGTACATACACTTGAATTCCTTCATTTTTTTAAATCGTTTCGCTCCGTTTACGAGTTTCTGTACATTGTCATTCCTATTTTGCAGACATCTCTACTTAATTAATGGATGTGCATGTGACCCTTCAGGTGAGATAGACCCTACCTGGCGTATCTTTGGTACTTTTATAGCACTTAAGTCGTAAGGAATTGATGTTGTTAGCATTGTATATTAAACAAATGACTCCTAATTTACCCACGATGAAATATTTTGATGAATATGTACAATGTTTATTTAAATCTACACATTATTATAATAGAGACATATTTAGCAATTAAACACTGAAACAGCCCAATCCTCGTACACTGAAAGTAAATCTCACATGCACCAGGAAAAAAAAGTTTTGTTTTCATAATTGATAATGCATTTCATGCACTTCCTAGTAACGCAAGACGAGTTACTCGAAAGGTAATTTAATTTCGGTTGAAGTTGTGTATAGTTATGTCAATTTATTTTTTGCAATTAGTTGTAATAATTTCATCTCTATGCATTTGAACAAGAAGGCGAAATAACTCGACGAAGCGCCCGGGAAGCCATGCCCAAGCCGGCCGTGGGTGAGGTGCCCTTGCCAGCCGCGTCCATCCCGAGCGCATGGAATTGGCTCGTGCGCGTGAATAGGATGACGCGCTGGCACCCGCGAAAGGCGCGAGACTAGTCGCTGTGGCGGGCCCGCCCTCGCCGCCCGCCCGTCTCAACTCGGCCTCCTCCGCGCCCGCCCCCGCGCCCGCGCCTGTCGCGCGAATGAATATAAATGCTCGTCGAACGTGACGGCCCTCTCAATTTATTTCAGCCGCCCCGCCCCGCCCCACTATCGACTCAAGCGAGAGGATTTGGCGTAGTGGTAGACCCGCCACACTACATTGCAATTCAACGAAAATGAACTCATCAACGTGGATAATGATAACATTTATCCTCTTGCATCTGCACAATTTGTGTTAAGTGACCGAGTTTGTACGCCTCAAATAATTTCTCTTTTTATTTTACTTTTAAGTTAGGGCACCATCAGGTGTATTATTACAAATTGCGGCAATTTTTTTTTATCCCGTTTCCTCCTTTTATATCACCGCCGCCTTCCAAGACGAAACATTCGCAAAATAATGGGACTAATGACGTCGATGCGTCTGGAAACATGAATAAATGAACTCAATCGATCGTAAACTACCAACGTGGTCAATTTAACTTTGAGATGTCACCGAGGCCTACCTGCGCGAGCGCTCCCAAAGAAGGGAGCTTGAGGAGCTCCCAAAGAAGGGAGCTTAATCCCCCGCCTGGTCGCGAAAGGTCTCTCGACGCCTCAGCGGCTCCGGTAGCACCCTTCCCCTGCCCCACCCCCACCCCACCCCACACCACCCAATGGCTAGGAAACATTTGCCTTGCAACATTCTGTAAGCAAATGATTCAATTATCAAAAACAAATAAGGCTGGTAACGAAAACTTTATAACCAAAGAACCTACTCAGTCCTGAGAGTTGCATTATAGACTTCACACTACTGCTACTAGTTCTAGTTAAATAATGAAATATGATTAAATCCCCCCTCCAAGAAAACTAATGAGTTTAAAGACAAACAATTACTCAGTTTATTACTTGTTGTATTATTCAGTGTTGCTGGCGGAAACTGCATTTCGATATCGTGCATAGTTCAGTAGCTATTGGTGGAGGGAACGTAGTGTGCGGGGCCTCTTGTATTTCATTTATAAAACTGAATCTTAAATGTTGTATTGTTAATGTTTATTTCGATTAACGAATTTTTTGTGGCGAGTTTGTGATTCAGTGGACCCTGTTTGAAAAAAAATTAAAAGGTCATATTCTCATTATATTATTTAGCAGCTCTTGTCTGGTAAATAAACATTCGTTCAGATTACTCTAATATTGAAAATTATTCAAAAATTCGTATTTTGAACTAAGTTCTGATGTCTGCTCTAAAGATGCCATGCAAGAAAGAACACGGAAAACTGGTTTCTCTAAACTGTAGAAGAGAAAGGATTAAGTAAAACGAAGGCTTCCTATTTTGGGAACAGAAAGCAAAACCAAGAAGCTTACTACCTTCTTAGAAAGTAGCAGTTGTTAAAATCCCTTTCGTTTGGATGGGGGCATCCTTTTAGATCCGCCAAGTGGCTTTTGGTAAAGGGAATTTGCAACGAACATTCCTACTAATAGATGTAAATGAATAAGTAGGGTTGAATTCAAATATATTGTTGCCGAAGTTTGTAGTGGCGGAGTCTTTGTTAATCAATAATTCGGAGGATAAAATACAAAACCGCATAGCAAAAGTTATATTAAATTAAATAATGTTTAATCTGTTTGTGAATATATTTTATCGAATAATCGTTTACATGCTAGTTGACTAGTGTACCTGCAAGTTTTCGAAATGTCAAAAAGTTGCCTTCGCTTCACACAAAATGCTAGAAAATTAAATGAGGGGAAAATATTAAACATTTCTTAGCGTAACTAGAGTTCCGAGATTTTAAATGCGCATTTTAGTTTTCCAATATAAAAACCAATCTTCCTTTGGCTCCAAAAAACCGTCCCAGGAACTTCTCTGGGTGACACAGATGTGAGGGCTGACGTCAGAGGATTTACGGGCCGATTACCTCTTCCTATCGCATTCTTTCCGTGAGCTCTCGAAGCCGGCCGCCTGGAGCGGGTGGTGGTGGTGGTGGTGGTGGTGGTGTCTGGCAGCTCCCCAACGTAGGTAGCCAACAGCCCGCCCGTCCAGGCAAGGCCGGGCAGCGCCGCGCCGCGTGCCACATTTTTAGCTCATTGACTGAAGGCGTCCACGTGCCAACCACCCCTCTCGCCCGCTGTGCCCAGTGCCCCCGCCCCCCGCCCCTGCCCCTCTCGCCCTGGGACGTCCAGGGGATTGGCTACGCGGAGGCGCGCGCCCCCAGCCGCCCCCTGTCTGCCCCTCGCCGCTCACCCCCGTCGCAAGGCCGGGACTTTCTCCAGCGCGCCCGTCGCGCTCGCATCTCCTCACCGCACCTTCAGCGCCGGCAGCAGCATGGACAGGACGCCGTGGCTGAGCGCGAACCCGGGCGCGGGCGCGGACGTGGGCATGGACATGCGCATGCGTTTGGGGATGGGGATGAGCATGGGCGGGTGGATGCTGGGCCCCGGCGGCTGGTGGCACCCGCACGCCCACCACAACGCGTACGCGCCCGCCCACGCGCACGCCCACGCGCACGCCCACGCGCACGCCTACCCGCAGCCGACGCCGCTGTTCGCCTACCCGCAGCCCATGCGAGCGCACTGCGGTGGGTACCACGCGTGGGGCTCTCTCAGTCATCGGCATTGCCGCAATTACTTGTTTGTGTTGCTATCGCCATATTCAGAATCCTACGACTAGCATATTCCTATCGTATAAACGTGAGGCGTTGGGTTGTATCCATTAAATTCATCGGTATTTTTGTGTAGGTCGCAATTGGTGCGACGTTATGAAAACTCTATCGGTAGGAATTCTGTCGAAAGAGGTCTCTAAGAGGTTCTTCCTTGTCGAAGTATTCTGTCACGTTTCCGTCCAATTCACAGTTTTTTTGAGACTATGAATTTTTGACATCTTGTGCGGATGAGAAACCTTGACGTATATCGCGATTGGAAGTACAAAATGGTGCGTTGATTCTCAGAAGATCATGAAATAATCGTATGTTCGAAACCTTACCCTTGCCGATCAATGCTAGCAGGTTTCGTTATCTCGGACAGATAAGGGAATCGACTGTTCCTTTTTTGTTGGCGTGCCAGCGACGCGAAACGCCTCGGTCGCAGATAAGCTCAGGTGAAAGGAGTTCAAGTGTAGCGGAGTTTGTGTTGGGAGTTGTGTTTGACGACAGTTTTGAAATAACATTTTTGCGACTTATATCTTCAGGTAATGCAAGCCTGTCAAGCAAGTAGCTAGGTTAATCTAATATCGTCCTGCTTTTATGTGAAGACAAAATAATATCATTTTTAACCGTGAATGCCGAAATTTGATGTCGGTGATTTTTCGATACAACGTGAAACTTTTATATGTATTGTAACAGTTCTTATACTTACCAATTGTATTTGGCGAGTTCCTAGATGTCAAGGAGTTTGGAAGTGAAATAGGGCATGGTGTTCTCTACACATTACGACCTAAATGAGACCAAGGGATATTGACTGTGAATTATGCATCTGACTTACACATGTGGAGTGCTTTATATTATATATCAGCCCGTTTGATTTTTTGTGGGGTCAGAAAGATTTAATATTTAGGGACAGCTAGTGCATGAGCTTGCGCCGACTTCTGAAGGCGTGACTTCCGTCCAAAGAACAAATGACTTTTGTGAATGTGTCATTCTCTACGAAACTAATTATACGACAGAATTGTTAGACTAGTGTGGGTAGAAGTTAATGACTATTGACGCCGCATTCGACGTATCAAGACTTTTGCTAAAGCTCCGCTACGTATTTGTAAACAGAACTAACTCGTGATTTGTTTTTATTTTTTTAGGAATCACCCTGGATGGCTCCATTATGGGCGGCCCGCAGTCGCCCCTGGACATGAAACCCGACACCGCCTCCCTCATCAGTTCGGGTAGCTTCAGCCCCACGGGCGGAGGCGGGGGTGGCGGCGGAGGCGGCCCCAACAGCCCCACGTGAGTACCTTGCGCCGCGGCGGCGGGGTCTCCCACTTCCGTTTGGAGCAGCGATTCTCGAAGCGGCGCGGATAGAATTTCTGGGCAAATGACATAACTTGTGAGGGATTTGAGAATGGCTCAAATGTGGAGGAGATAGAAATAGATAATGGACTTCTCTATTAAAATGCGTAGAGTTAATTTTCTTGGGCTGAGTATCATTTTTGTCCTGTTTCACTTTATCTATTTGAGAGTCGTGTTTTATTTGTGCCATGCCTGTATTTAGTAAATCTAGAGATGAAGAGGTAGAATTTAATTTGGGGAGAGATATTCTTTTGAAAGTTTAAGCGGGACGACTTGTAGTGACTGGGTTGCACGCAAACGCCCTACTCAATAAATGAAGGAATAAAATCGGTATTTTTAATATATAAAGTATACTTAATTATTTTGATACTTTATAATTTAAATTGTTTGTTTTCTAATGAAACTAATTAAAATGACTTAATAGGTTATTTTTAAAATCTACAATAAGGCCTCCTTAAATATTTTTCCAACTTCTTAAAATGTTTTCACTACAGGTACAAAATTATCTTATTGTGCCTAAAGAGTTGCTTTTGTAAGTTTTAAAGTGGGTGTGAAATATTTGAAACTCACCGATTCGGGAAATTTATCCCGGAAGTGGAGAATTATAAAATGCAGCGTAAATAAATTTTTAAAAAATGCTCAGAAGAACCGAGAATTAGGAACCTACTGGCTTCCAGGCGACAGAAACTATGACGGTGATTCTTAAATCATACGGAATTGATTTTTATTCAAATGAAAAATAAAATTGTTGGTAAAGAAGTCAATTTGCATGCTCTTGTTAGTTCGCATCTCTGAAGTATTATCACAATGCCAAAAATATTGTTGGTGTTTTCACAATCGTAACATAATGTTGATCCAATATGCTTTTATTTTGTATGCACGGAAATTAAGTTTGTGTAAGATAATTAGGGAAAGTGATATTAAATGTTGGCTGTCGTGAATGGTCTACTGTTTTTATGTTCGGAGTTGCTTCTCTTTGCCATAATTGCTTTTCCTAAAGCGCGGGAAGATTTGGGTTCCTGAATTTGTCATTCTTTACTCGTTAGTATTGGTATTATTTTTTGAATTTATGTACTGACATTTCTACATATTGGTCTGGAAGCTCAGCGGGTACCAGATTAACGGAGAATTGCAAATGCTTGAGCTGAAGAGGAAGGGGTAGTGAAGGTTGTGGTTAGCCTGAAAAATTTTAAAGGGACCTTTGCCTTACATTCTAAAACATTTTATTTCCGTAAATATGTTTAGTCTCTGATTTTCCTCTTTGTAAACCTGACAATTTGTGGAATTGTTGAATTCATTTGAAGAAGGCTCTCGAAGCCATTTGGCAACCCTTCAAATGATTCATCTTAAAAGCAATTGTCTTTATTACTTGTCTCAATAATGATACAATTTAATTATTATATTTTGAAATATACCAATAAAATATGCTATATGTAAATAAAAATGTTAAATGGAAAAGGGGCCCTGAAGTGCAGTTAGTGGCTCCGCCTTGTTTTAGGTTGTACACGCCAATGGAGAATTGCGTTAGTTTCAAAAACATTGACTCGGGTATGTTCTAGCATTCACACACTGACTCCGATTCTCTCCCTCGTGCCGACGTTTGTTCTGGCGGACACTTTATACGTAAAATGTCTGGATTTGAGTATTATACTTGATACATTGTGAACTGTATTTACAGAGGCGGCCAAGGCAAAAGCTCTTCAACCATCCAATATCCGCCCAACCACCCTCTCAGCGGTTCGAAACACCTCTGCTCTATCTGCGGCGACAGAGCTAGTGGCAAACACTATGGAGTTTACAGGTATGTTTTTCATAGTCCTTTTATGCTGTGCGTCAATGTCTACCTAAATGCGTCACTTTTCAAGCTCCTTAAAACGAAACTTCCGGGAATCAGTGAATCCAATCCAGTGGCCCCTAAGCACTGTAGCACTTTCCTGCTTATGAAGGACGTGAACTCTTTTGATGCACGTGTACCCCGTAGTAGCGGAGCTCCAAGGATTAGGTTTGTGGTATATCGAGATTTTCTCACAGACATCAATACCACAAGAACTATTGTTACTTCACTGGTAACAATAGTACAACCTGTATTAATACGATTGCTTCTGTCTTCAATTTCTAAGATACCATCGCTTTCACGTTCGTAGCATTTCATGCTGATCAGAACTCTTTTATCGCAGCACGACGCTTCAGAACCTTTGACGTAGTACTGTTACACGCCATGTTTTCTAATGTAATCGCGAGGTCAGTAGCGGCAGAGTTACGAAACTCTCATCCGCGCAGGGGGAAACTTACCGAACAGAATGGACTTACTGTATCATATGATCACCGATAAGGGTTGATTGATCAGTAATTTCGGCCAGTCAACTCATTAGTGTCGCAAGTGTAGTGCCTGTTATTACCGCGAGATCCCCCGTTGGCTGGCAAGATCGGCGCCGACCTATGTCTGCTGGCAGGGATTATCCCCGACCAGGTATCTCCCATCAGCGGGGTACTGCCCCAGCCGGGACGGACTCCGAGCTCCCGACTAGTGTGGAACTGTAGTGCACGGGAGTGTGATCAAGGAAGAGGAAGGGAAGATGACGAGCGGTCCGTAACCTTTTGTTAGAGAACTGCTCCGGCATTCGTCGGTGTTGAGAGAACCCTCGCCAAGTACTAATCAGATCTCTCCTTCAGACAGCGCCAGAATTCGGCCTAGCTGGAAAGCTGGTGTCGAAAATCCTTATATCGTCGGGTCTTGAGCCCTCGTAGGATCAATTGATGCCCTGACCCTCCTTTGCCGGTCCGGAGAAATTACGAATCCATCAGAATACGTAATGTCAACAATATCTCTATCATATGTTCAGTAGTGTTCGTTGAAATATACTAATTTACATATTAAGTTCTGCCCTAATTTTAATAGTTTCTATGATTAGGCAAGCGGTGCTCGACAGCACATACTTTCATACGGTACTTCCAATTTTCTAGTTTTCCAATATTCAGAGTTGTACGAAAATAAACGTGCCGTTTCTTATGTTACCTGAGGAACAAAATTGAAGTAAAAAATTCCGCCCTTTTTGAGACAAAATTTTTATAAAATGCATTGATTTTAAACAAAAACTATTAGTTTCCCAAAAATTGTACACGATTTTATCTAAAGATTCAAATTTTAGAACAGATTTTATGAAGGAAAATAATTTCTATCATCAATATTGTACTTTTGCAAAGTTATTTTCTGCAATTTTTGAAAATGCAGTGTTCGCCGAAAATAGGACCAGCGCCTTTGCTATATCCGAGGAAAACATTAAAGTAAAAATGAGCGGTTTTTGAGAAAATAATGGTTTTAATATTTGAAAATTTTGTGCCCATTTTTCATGCAGAATTACGCGAAAAGTATGAATACTTTCGAAAAATTGTGCATGATAAAGATGTCATTGAAGAACATGTTCTTTAGGAAAAAATCTCTATCTTCAATGATGTAGTTGAAAGATGATGCCGAAAGAATTTAAACTTTTGCAATTTTTTGAAAATCCAGAGAGAAAAATAAAAATTTGACCTGTGCATTTTTTAATAATTTGCCCTATTCGAGGAAAAAGATAAATGAAAAAAATGAAGTTTCTGAGAGCATTTTAAAAATGTTGTGGCTTTAAACAAAGCTTATAACAAAAATCAAAGGATTTCCAATCATTTCACAAATAGTTTCAAATTCGCAGGGCCCCGAGCTTAGCCAGATCGATGGGGAATGTCGATTTAGAAGATTGCAGTAAACCATTATTCCAATCTTAAGCAGCCAATGCCATCCACGTGATTTCTGCAAGCCTCTCTTTACCGAGCTTGAAATCTTACCGTTGCCTTACCTATTTATTTATAATTCTGTTATTTTTGATAACCTTTCTTAATGGCGGGAACATTTTCGTGTATTGTATAGTTAAAAAAGTTTTAGTATGCCTGTAAAGTAATGTGTATCAGCTTCCGAGTCAGGGATCCCATCTCGATCAGTTTCTTTACAAGTTTCCCTGATCCATTGAGCGAATTTGGAGATGGCCCGTTGCTCTGGACATAAATGTAGCTTCACTATGCGCAAGTTTTGTTGAGCTGTTATTTGCTAGTTGTGGTTGGAGTAGAACCGGGGGTATGGGTTTCTTTTTTCTCACTGATACTAACGAGTCGATTCTGTAGCTATTCTGTATAACTGCGAGCGAAAATGTTTATTTTCATATGTTACTATCCTTGCCGTGTTCTGTTGTTGCATTGCTTTTATTTCATTTAACTATTTAGTGATAAAAAGGTGGGGAAGGGATTCCAGAGTTCAAGAAAACTAGCGCAGATTGTACTTCTCCATAAGTCTAATAGTTTTTACTGTTGATTTACAAAGTAAATCAAATAAAAAGAAAACCACCTCAGTGGTTTAGGCTCTATCGTTCACCGCAGAACAAACATCAGTCGATGTTTCTGTAAATGTCCACAAATTGTGGATTCTGTCACAAATCTCGAATTCTGACTCTGCAACATGTTAGAGGAAGTACTTTATATTCGAGAAACAAGAATGAGGGGCGGCTCGACAGACGTATTTTTTTTGGAGGGGGGGATTTTTATGTGTATATGATTTAGATTTATTCAGTCAAAAAAAAAAAAAACAGTAAAAACTGTATGTGACATAGGGGGGAGAAGATTATCTGCGCACGTTTTCTTGAGTTCCAGAATCCTTTCCCGTCATTTTAACTATAAATAGTTGAAAGATGAGTAAAAGTTTAACATACATAAATATAAATACATTTTAAAAATTGCAAGATTAGCAATATTTGAAAAATAGTTATTTTCGTTTCCGAGTTCTAGAAAACTTATTGGCATCGGTACAGGAATTGCAAGTACGATTTTTCTGCATTGTTAACAAAGTAGCAACTCGCCCTTACTTCTACTCTTATCATTACAAGCACAAGGATAGTTCAACAAAACGTGCGTATAGTGAAGCTACATTTACGTCCACAAGCAAAATAAGGGGCCATCTCAGCATTTGCTCAATTTATCAGGGAAACTGGACAAAAACCTGATCGAGATGGGGATCATTGACCCCTAAGCCGAAGTACATAATTTGTTACAAACATATAAAGTCTTTTAAAAAAATGTATACAATACAAATGTAAACTAGTTCATTATATATCACTGTTTCGTTAAAATAAATATTATTTTTCATTTTGATATTCAGTATAATCTCTAATTGTAAAGAAACAGTTATGGAGTAGAAAAGATTTTACTTTTAACTTAAATTTGTGAACAGACTTCAATTGTTTAATGTCATTTGGCAGTGCGTTGTAAAGTAACGTACATGTATTGTATGTGGATTTCTGATAGCTGATTCTGAGAGCTGTTTATACTGACACTTGATGAACGTGATTTTGAGACGTGTTATAATAATAAATATCAGTATTGCATGAAAATATGTTCAAACCGTTAAGTAAGTCACTTTTGACAAATATTACAGATATGTAAATATATAAGCAAGGCAGTGGTAAGATTCCAAGCTCAATGAAGAGGTTTGCAAGGGTAATGCGGATTGCATTTTGTTCATTATTCGTTTTTATGTACATACATGTATGTATGTATGTGTGTATGTATGTGTGTATGTATGTGTGTATGTATGTGTGTATGTATGTGTGTATGTATGTGTGTACAGATAAACAAAGATAATATAAATTATAAACGGTGATTTTTTTAATAAAATGCTTTTAACAAAATTAAAATATCAAGTTTGATGTTTAATGAATACTTATGGTTTTAAATTATAAATGGTAATAATTTGTTATTAAAATATATGAATTCAGCGCTGCAAATCGACGAAGGATTAGGGTAGTACATTTTTACATCATTCTATGGTACAGATACGAACAGATAGAACTTAAATAAAAATTCATGATATCAATTTACAAAAACATTTGCTTACATACAAACATTACTGTCCAGGACTGAAAAAAGTTGTCAGGATTTCACAAAATAAGTCTCAAGCCTCTTCTACTTTTTCTCTTTCATGAGATTTCTTTCTCTTTACATCTTATTCTTTTTAGACGTTTTCTTTTTCTTAAGTACTAATTAACCGCGCCGTCTCCAGGCGCATGTAAGCGATCCATGCCCTATTCTTTTGCTTCGGACACACTGTCTTTGCGCGAAATGTCACAGCGGCCCACGAGCTTGGCACCTGGAGACACACTACTCTGCCAACACTTCGACTCACCAATGCGCGGAAGTCGCCGTAGCACCGCCTGTCAAGCGGAGCAAGAAAGAGATGGTGTCGCACGCCACCGGAAGGTGTTTTTTTTTTAATTGGTTAACTCTGAATTTTCCAAAATTGCAAAATTGTTTTTTTGCTGCGTTTTTCTACGACTACAGAATTGAAGATATAGATTTTCCATTCAAATTAAATTTATTCTCTATTGTCAGTTCTTTCATTAAGGCCATTTACAATTTTTTGAAAATTTTAGCAGTTTTCGTGCAATATTATATGCAATGAGTATTTTTTTTTAAATAACAAAAACCAGATTTTCTCATAAATGGCTCCAAGTTTCTTGTTCAAACTTTTCCAACAGATAGTGCTAATTGCTCTCTTTAATATCTTTTAAAGTTTTGTTGTTGTTTTCCCCCCAAAAAATACACCAATGTATTATTTCTAAATCTCTCACACCATTAATATGCAAATTTCCAGCAATTTGTAAAAACTTCTGTATTTGTGGGTTGATGTGCTTCAAATGACTCCAAATGAAGTTTTTCAAAAACTCACAAAATTTCTCTGAAAAAGCTTCAAATTTCAAATTTACAGTAGCACTTAAACGCCATTTTCTTAAAAACCACTCCAAATTTTTCAAAGAAAATTTCCATTTGGGACTAGGTTTTACTGTTCTTCAATATTCTGAAAATAATATTTCCATTCTACTATTTGGAAACTGAAAAAGTTAAAAGCACCTTGGGTGGCAATTTGGGTAGCTGGCAAGAGTAGTTGCAAATCTGTAGCTAGCCGAGAACAAATGAAATAGTAAACTAATGTGGGACTGTGTGTGCCATTCTGTACCACCTAGTTAATTTTTTACTTAATTACCTATTTATTTATTATATTAATTTTTATTTTCTTATAACTCTTCTGCCTTAAGCATTTTCGTTATAAAAACAATCTGTGTTAAGTCTGTAAATTTTATTGACTTGGTAGAGTTATCATGTTCTACAAGCTCAAAAGTACTGATATTTCTAAGCGTATAATATTGGTTTGACTGAAATATTATTTATTTTCATTTTGCAAATATTCACCTGTTTATTTTCAGCCATTATTGTATTTTTCTTTTCTAGTATCTTAGATTTGTGTAACTCAAAGCAGCAACAAGAGCTATTTCACATTGTTAAATTTAAGTTATATTTAGATTGTATGAAAATATTTTCAAATGTTATTTGCTTTTTTAATTTCTGTGAATTTAACACTTTTATCATAATAGCTCATGTTTTAATTAGCCTCATTTTGTCTTCTCATTTTAATCATTTTTAAGATCTACAGAATCGCATTTAATCTAGAAATGATTGAAAATATGATATAGTAATAACATTAGGCAATAAATAAAATGCATAAATAAAAAATTCTTCATTAACTTATCAAGAGTTCTTGCAACATGTATTTTTTTTGCTTCAACTTAGTTTCATACTTGAAAGAAATTTTTCAGTGAACTAGTATCTTTAAAAGATTTCCATATGGTAGGTCAATACAAACCTTATGATATTTTACATTGAAAATTGTATCCAGTAATTTTTTTTTCTAATCATGGTTTATATTGAAAATGTACACAGACATAGTTTATATTGTTAAACCTCACTCCTTTCATAATTCTCACCATAGATAAGACCAACAATTCTTATCAAATTCTAAAATTGTTCCAGCTGTGAAGGCTGCAAAGGATTTTTCAAACGGACTGTTCGAAAAGATTTGTCATATGCTTGCCGTGAAGAGAAGAACTGCATTATTGACAAGCGACAACGCAATCGTTGTCAGTATTGTCGTTATCAGAAGTGTTTGACTATGGGAATGAAGAGAGAAGCAGTTCAGGTAAAGCACTACAATAGAACAGTTTACATTTCTGTTCCAGTAGTGTTATAGATCTTTTAACCAATGGCAGAACTACCAGTAGTGCAGTTGGTGCAATGTGTAGAAGCCTCTGGCTCTACACATTGGGCCCACACACTAACTTGTAGTTGATTGAAATAAAAAATAACAAAATTGAGAAAGTGGAGTTCCACTTCCACTATTTTTCTGTAATTACTTTCTTTGCCTAACATTTATATTAAAACTTAAATAAAAAAATTGCAGACAATAAATAGTTGTAAAAAAAAAAAAATTGCCGAGGGCACCACTGCGCCAGAGGCTTTTACAATGTTTTATGTACCAAAAGGGCATATCAAAAGTTGGATAAGATGGAAATAATACATTCTTTCCCTTGTCATAGGTTTCTGCTTATTTTGCTCATTTTCAAAGGTGCATAAAACAATACTAGTTAATATATCCAATGTTCATCGTCGATAACTAGACGATAGGTCAGTTTTTTATGGCAGCAACTGCCATGGACCATATGTGGCATTAACTTTTAATTTTGTTTTTAAAATTAATTTCTTTAAAAAACAAAATTATTTTCAATTCATTCATATCCAAACTTTTAGTGTCTTTTTGGTTTTAAGATGGAAAACATCTTAATACAAGACACTTTTTGTATCTTCTATAATAAAAGGTTCTTCAAATCAGACAAGTTTTTTGGAATGTGTGGAGGCCTCTGATCATCTAACCAGGCCTCCCAAAAAGATATTTCTGCCACTGTTCTTAACATCTTAATTTCTTGCCATGGAGTACATACGTAATGCCACCAACTGTGACCTCACCCTAGTATGTAGAAAAACAATGCATATGAAATGTATTGTATAGAGTACAGTTTTGAAAAAGTGAGAACTGATTGGTAGTATCCAAAACCAAGAAAAGCAACATGTTGCCTTGTGAATCTTAGTTCATCCTAGTATAAAGGTTTCATTTTGGGATGATTATCAGTCTAAACTTCCTGCTCATTGCTTTACTTTTATAAATTATATCCAACATTCCTGTGTTGAAAAAACTGCGTCATGTAAAATTTTTTGTATAGATTCAATTACACAATTTGAATAAGACAGTTGTCATACAATATCAGTAATAATGTTTTAATATGTTTTATTTTAAACATATCAATTTCAGGAATATTTTTAGCTTCTTTAATGAGGCAGATTTTGATACAAAATTGACTACTGTCTCTTAAAATTTTCATGCAACATTAAAGTCAACACTATACTCACACTTATATATTATATTACAAACAGGGCTTGGATTCTGATGACCTAAAAATTCTTTGAAAATGACCCATGAAAAGGCTTACAGATAAGGAAAATAACCTAAAAATAACTCAAAAAAAAGGGGAAAATGGCCTAATTTTTTATTAAATACTAAAAAATTTGTGTGAAAACATTACTTATACAATGAATTTTACAATTTTAAATAAAATGTATTTATATAAAATTATGTTCAATGTAAAGTCTTCATTTTAGGAAGACTTTATGTAATCCTTAGCCCCGATCTTCCTACTGATTTGGTAGATTTTGAAAGGTAGAAGAAGACACTGAAGAACCATGACATTTTCAGAGTTTGAAGGAAGAGTCCATTCCGGTAGTGAATTTAGTCATGAACTGATGGCTTTATAGTAAGTCATTGTAAAATAATGAAACATTTACTAACAAAAACACAAAAAGGGAAAAGTGTGTAAAAATTACAAAAATGACACAAAGGTTCAAAAAGCTATCAGACAACTATAAATGTCCATCTATATGTAATCAAAAACATTCATTTACATGTGAGCTATGTTCACAATTCAGCAATGAAAAGATGACATGTCATCAAAATCCGAGCCGTGATTATAAATTATATTATATTCTAATATATGTATGTATATGATGTCATAAAGGTAGATTATAAATATATACGTTAAAAAAGTGGAAAGAATTTTCAGAACAGTTTACTGATTTATTTGTAATATTTTTGTTTTATGCAGGAAGAACGGCAGAGAACCAAAGGGGAGGCACAAAATGAAGTGGAATCCACAAGTAGCCTGCATGCGGACATGCCTGTGGAACGCATATTGGAGGCAGAGAAGCGGGTGGAGTACAAGACGGAAAATAACATGGAGTTTGAGGTACTAAGTCATAAATTATCAAAATCTAGTTCAATTAGAACACCATTTAAAATTTTCATTTCGATAGACAATCAAATGAGAACTTGCAAGTGGTGATGGCCATATTGTGCCAAATTATATTGCTGGTTCTGGCATAAGAGATTGTCCCCTTTTAAGTTATGAACATCAGGTGAAATGCAGGTTTTTAAGCACTCAATAATTCTGTAGTTCAATTTAATCCCCTTTTTTTTTGTGAAGGAATTCAATAGAATCGGTATGTGTTGTATTTGGGAAGGCATTGGTTCTTTTAACCGTTAATAATGAGCAAAAATTACCTATATCAGAATAATTTTAACCTTACTTAGTTTATTATTATTGTTATTGTTAATATTATTATTATTATTGTTAATATTATTATTGTTGTTATTGTTAATATTATTATTATTATTATTATTATTGTTATTGTTAATGTTATTGTTATTTTATTACTTCTCACTATTTGTTCACTAAGCATATTCAAAAATTCAATGCTAATATGTGAAAAGAGAATTAAGTCTCGAACAAATCCTTGTTTCAGAATACAATGAACAACATCTGTCAGGCAGCAAATATATGCCAAGCTACCAACAAGCAGCTCTTTCAGTTGGTTGAATGGGCCAAGCACATCCCTCACTTTACTTCATTGCCTCTTGAAGACCAAGTACTTCTTCTGAGAGCAGGTGAATTTTGCAGAAATTAATGTATTGAAATGAAAATGAAGTGTGAAAAATTTTGCAAGGTGTGAATCTTTTCAGGGTGGAATGAACTTCTTATTGCTGCCTTTTCTCATCGTTCAATGGAAGTGAAAGATGGCATTGTGCTAGCCACAGGCCTCACAATTCACCGAAATTCAGCTCATCAGGCTGGAGTTGGTACTATATTTGACAGAGTTCTTACAGAATTAGTAGCAAAAATGCGAGAAATGAAAATGGATAAGACTGAGTTGGGTTGTTTGCGCTCCGTTATACTTTTCAATCCAGGTAATTATTTGTTAAATTAAACCATGACCTATTGTATAATAAGAATAACGTTAATAATTTCTGTCATATATACTATATCTACTGTATATATTTCCATTATATATAATTCCAGTTCTTTTATTCTCATTTATTATTGAGAGATAACCATTTGAGATAAAAACTGTTATCATTTAAGGTAAATATATAGCATCAGTCAGGTGCAACACAAAAACATCCGTGTAGACACTTGCAAAAGATTAACATTCTGCACCATAATGTTCAGTCTATTTGAAATGAAACTAAGTTTATTAAGGTTGCTCTACAGAGTGATTTAAATGAAGTAGATTTCTTTGTTTACAGAACATTGATTATCTCCTCATGAACAAAGCATTTTTTTTTTTTTTAATTTCATTTTGTACTTATGTATAAAAACTTTTCTCAGTAAACATGGCAACAGTTTTCAGATTGTCAACATGGATTTATAAAATCAAAATCTATAAAATATATTTTCTTATTTTAAAGATGTTGCTTCATCCATGGATCTAAATGAATCATCTACTGGAATATTCTTTAATCTTTCAAAAGCTTTTGGCATTATTTATAACATTTTACTTTCAAAGTTAGCCTTGTATGGAATTCATGATATAGCTTTATATTAGTTATGTTTGTACCTTAAACAAAGATCTCAGAGAGTAGAAATACATACTGGAATGGTGGGACATTACATACACACCTTTCCTATTCATTGCCAACCACACATGGGTTTCCACAGGGTTCGATTTGGGCTCTGGTCTTCCTACCATATGTAAATGATATACCCTCAACAATTTGAAACAATGTCCAGTTTGCTTTTGGAATGATATGAAGATTCTTTGCAATAAAGAAACTGTAAATAGTATTGAATCGGGTACTTAAAATTATTTCCACAATAACAAATTAACACTAAACAAAGTAAAAACAGTGTTGATGTAGTTTTCAGTTTCAAATGAACCATTGCATACTCTATTGAAAATGAACAATGTATAATTGACCACCTTACCAAGCCCAAGGGAACAGTTTTGAGTCTTTCATTTCAGTCAAACATGGAAAGATACATCAATTTAATTTTGTGTTCAATTCATTGAAATTCATTATGCTATGTCTTCAGAAATCTTTCAAATGCAGTGAGCCATAATTCTGCTTGTTGTATATATTTCACAAATGATCATTCCTGCCTGAAGCTCCCAGACTTTTAGATTACAAAAAAGGAATGTACAAATAATAAGAAAATCTCAACCACATAAATCTTGTAAGCCTTTATTCATTCATCTAGGAATTATACCATTACCTTGTATTTTGGTTTACAAATCAGTGGTTTTTGTCAAAAATGGCTTGCTTAAGGGTGGACATATATTTCCAGTAAAAACTGATGTCTAAAACTATAACACTCCATATAATAAGCATGTTTGTCAGGGGTCAGTATCAACAGCTCACTACAAAAAATTCACAAACAGTACATGTACATTATTTTACAATACATTCTCTGGTGACAAATTATTAAAATAGATATACATGAGCAAAGTAAAATCTTTTCTGCTGCACAACTTTCATTACAATTAGTGTATACTGGGCATCAAAAAGGAAAGTAATATTAATTTTAACAATGATGTTTAATTGATTATCATTTTATTTTATAATTTTAAACAACCTGAAGCGAGTATTGTACCTCATCTTTAGAGTGTATGCTGAGTTGGCCCTTTGTTTTGCTTCTGGACACAAGTGTAACTTCATTATCTGTGCAAGTCTTCTAGGAGTTCATTGGTAAATATACGTAGTTATTCAAATTATTGTTATCCATGTTCTTACGGCAGGAAGTCATTTCCCTCACAAAGGAACCAATGAGGAATAATAAACCCAAATGTATAGCTGATTTGTGTTTGCAAGTAGGTTTTATTACATCGGAACAATTATTTTTTTAAATTCAATTCTTGCCCAGAAAATTTATTTTTATTATAATTTCTATCTGTATTCAGAATTCAACTTGTATTAGATTAGGATAGGGATGTCAGAATTTAAGAATGGGTGCACAAAATATACTTCTGATAGCACAGTTTTTGATATTAAATAAAACTGTAGCACCTTCAATTAGGTGAAATGTCTCATTAAATTCTTTATTAACTAGTGATGTTGGGAAAATGGTTTTAAAACTGTATGAAAATTATACTTTTTTTGATATAAACAAACAATGTTTTAAAACAAAAGTGCAACGAATGTGATCAGCAAGCTTTGCAGCCCATATTCATTTCACTGCTACTTCACAACACTTTTCTTTGCTTTTTAACTTGACACATACTAATTCTCTTATGGAGTTGGAGTTCAGTGAATAAAATAGCAATGGTCAGTCTAATGTATAATAACATGTCAACAATTTGGCAAGAACATCCTTAAATCAAAGTAGCAATTGATTCAATATGCCTCCTCTGTACCACGAGGAAAGTCATAAACTTAAATGCATTTTCTGAAATGAGAACTGCCAGTCTTTATATTGGGTACATATGGGTGGTATTAATAGTCTAAAGGAAATATGTGGGTGGTATTAATTGACCTATATTTTTTGTCATTTGCTCTGTGGAGAACCATGTTTTAAGCATATTTCATTGTTTACATTACTTATCTAATCATTTTATTAGAATTTGTAAAATGTCGCTCTGTAGTTAAATAGATTTTACTGGCCTGTGGCAGTAGTTTTTATTATAATTTATATAAACTAACAAAAATAATAGAAATACTTAAATATTGGAATAATTCCTTCTCTTAGGAATTGTAAATTCTGAAGGGGTCATTGACACATGCGCACACACCTCACTTTTTGTAAAAAAAAAAAAAAAAAAAAAAAAAAAAAAAAAAAAAAAAAAAAAAAAAAAAAAAAAAAAAAAACAACAACAACAACAACTTGAAAGTAGTAAAGAGAGAAGTGTTTCATAATCAAAATTTTAATTCCTTTAAGAGAAAAGGTTAGCAACGGTCCCAAGTTTCAGGTGTATGATGATTGATTAATCATTAAAATTTCAATAATTCTATTTGCTTTTAACTTTTGTTGTTTGTAATGCCCAGACACTTCGAGATCTATTTTTCCCACTCCAGTCATGCAAAATTGCTAGGATATTTGAGTTGGTACCCTTTTGGCTTCCAGCATGGCCAGTAAATTTTGACTTCAATATTCCCCGCCAAAGGAGCCCTACAACAGTAGTCTCAGTAGTATTTAGACAGTCCTGGGCTAAGGGAATACGGGATCTGTTAAGGAAGGGAAATGTTGAAGGATTTAATTTAACTGACCATTCAGATGGAATTCTTTTACGTGCTGCCACAATAACATAATCAGTGTAAATTTTCCACAATTGGAAAATCCTTCTTGGCCACAGTTGAAGCTGCATTCTGGGAGTTGAAAAGCAAGTAAACTGACTACTCACTCACTGAAGTCAATGCTTTTAACCTACTTAAAGAATTAAAGATGATTACTCACAAATTCTGTAATGAAAATTTGTTGTTGTTGTTTTTTACTTAAAAGTTTAGATGGTAAGAAATCTATATAACCAATTACTTGAGAAATGTGCACAATTCCTCTTTTTTTTTTACAAAAACAAAATGCTTTCCAGATGTTAGAGGCCTGAAGTCGCAGCAGGAAGTGGAAATGCTGAGAGAAAAAGTTTATGCTGCTTTAGAAGAGTACACACGTACAACACATCCTGATGAGCCTGGTCGATTTGCTAAACTGCTTCTTCGTCTGCCAGCACTTCGCTCAATTGGTTTGAAGTGTCTGGAGCACTTGTTCTTCTTCCGGCTCATCGGAGATGTCCCCATTGACACGTTCCTCATGGAAATGCTGGAGTCTCCTTCTGACTCTTAGCTGCACATACAACGATGAGAACACAGTCCATGCTCAAATGAGTCTGTTGGAAAATCCATTTTCCTCAGCTTTTGAATGTATCTTAATGCAGTTCTTTTCCTATGGGCCTTCAAACATTCTACATAATTGAATGTTTTTCTGTATGGATCTAAACTCGTTACTTATAAGATGTTGTTATTGGGAAAGAAAATGAATGTTCTTTGTTTCTTCTTTTTTTTGTCATAAGTCTGTCCAGTTGCTGTTATTCTGGTTAAATTCATGTCTTGTGATATACTGTGTATGTCATACACATGTTCACATATTAGTACTGGAATATTCAGTTTATGAATTTTTTTATTCCGTGATATCACTGTTTTACTAATTGGAATGCTCCTAAGTGAAATATGAAAGACTTTCATGTGAAGACACCAATCACTGAGCTGTGTGATTGAAGAAATATGTATAGAAAATATGTGTAACTTCTTGCTAGTAGTTAATTTCTTTTTTACACACTTAATTTTCCTTTGTCTGCAAATGAAATTGCATCTGCTGCATAGTATTCACAGCAATATACAAAAATTTTATAAGAATAGCATAGAGAATAGAATTTCCTTGCTATTCAATGGTATTTCAATATGTTATGAGCAGCGGTTTCACTGTGTAGTGTTGTACATATTGCAAGCATTTTATTTAATTTTCTTTACTTTCATTTTTCCACTGTACTATCATTGAAATTGAGCAAGATTGTCAACATTGTCACATCTCTGCCAATCTCTTATATGTATCCTAAGTGCAGGTAGCTTTTAAGACCATAGGCTTTTCCCTCCCTTATTCAGTCATGGAACTTTTACTAAAATTTGACCGCTTAGAAGTATCTTGTAAACAACGAAAATGATTATGAAAAGAAATTTACATTGTCATTTCATAGACGGACAACCCATTGAGTGCCAAAAATAAATTTTGGATTAAAGGACCACACCTTGTATATTTGTTACAAGTATTCCTTTCTTAATTTGTTGAGTTCTCTTATAAGTTTTCACTTCCCTGAATATATTACAACTCAAAAACAAAATATATTTCTTTTAAATAAATTTTATCATAAAAGAATTGAACTTATCACAAATATAATTTAATGTGTCCTGTATGTGCTCAGTAGATTACTACTTAATAGTAGAAGCTTCTATTAATGTTCTAGAATATCTCTTTTTTGAAAGTGCCTACATAACGTTTGGCTGTTTGAATGTATTGTTAACGTAGAACTATGCGAAATGTGCTCAAGTCTAATTTGATGTATATGATTGAGGCACATAGCACATAAGTCTTGTTGCAAATATGTTTGTGTGCTCTTTGTGTATTTGTTCATTTTAGTTTAGAAATGAAAAAGGTTGTGTTTTAGAGATTGAGATGTAAAGAATTTTTTTATCATTCTAATGTGCAATAAAATTTTTTGCAGTGAGAGTTAATTGTCTAATCAGTTGAATATTTGATTTTATAAATTCACATTATAGCGATTCATTGACATTCTGTGTACATCAAAAAATATTGAACTTTCTTCCTCAAGCTATTCTTTCCTTGAAATCTTCTTTCAGGCAGCTCTTTATATTGTAAATGTTACTGCATTAAAATACAAGATGCTTTGATTGGTGTACTTACATTCCATAATAAGGTATTGTACTTGGAAATGCCACAATTGGCAATTGTAGTTTCTGGGTTTAACAGGTTAATCATGCAAATAGTGCATTTGTAAAAAAAAATAATATTGATATATCAATATTAAGTGGAAATTGCTGTATATAATGTACTAAGGTTTTGTATATAAGTCATCTTGTAATTATTTTTCCATGCATCTTTGTGCATGGTCTATTGACAAAGAAAAATTGATGTATGTATCTCTATGTAAACCGTATTTTTGCCTGTTCAAGTTTGGAGAATTCTATCATATGTTTTTAAAGTACCACACAATATTTTTTAATGTGGTAGTATTTTATGTCTTGGAATTCAATCATATGTGATGGTGTATGTATACCATGTTGTTATTTCACTGAAAATCATTAAAGGTCAAGTATCTAGATAACTTTCGTTATGCTGCCCTGTAAAGCAGCCTTTATATTTTTCTAGAGTTTCTTTGCCTCTGTGAAAGTTACTTTTGGGAATAAGTTTCTCACAGGTGTCCATTTACATCAATTGCTAAGTCTGAAGGGAAACAAGTTAACTGGAATTTAAAAATGGTTTCTTTGCAGCTTGAATAGTATAGTGTATATCTTTTCAGTGTCTGAGGAATCTCAAAAGTTTTCACATTGTAGAAATCATTGTACTTATGAGTGTATGTATGTAACGAGTAACAATGTAATCAAAATGCTGTGGGGAGTTTCATTACTTGAATGCTTGCTTTGGTGGAATAATTTCATTCTCAGCATTAAATGTTTGGAGATTTAGTGCATTAACAATTGCATGCAAATAACTGGTGCAAGTTTTTTGTAAAATATGACCATTCAATATGAAGAAATGAACTGCACTTTAAGAACTTACACATGAAAAAAGAACTTTACACCAGAGCAAAATTATAGAAAAGTGTAATCCTTTTTCTGAGAGTATTAAAAGAATGACAACCTCTTACCCCTCAGACTACTGTGACCATTGTACTTTAATTTGTATTAGATATTTTCTAAGTGCAAGAATCAGATTGTGTTTTGATAATTTTAGTATTAAGACAGTTCAGTGACAACTGGTTGATATTGTCCTATTTTAAGTGTATAATAATGTTGGAATTCCTGATGAATAAAATGTTACTTATTGCCAATATTATCAAATCTCTTTATTTGAACCAGATTGTGGGTTTTAAAATATGTTAATAATGCACTGCCAGAGTTTTGAGAGAATATTTTTAACACTGATGGTTATGACAAAGACTACATAGACAAATTTTTTAGTTACATAATTGGTTCCTTGATCCAGAACGAACTATTCATACACTGGTTTTGGTTGTCACCACCCGATATTCAATAACAATGTATTGTACAAAATTCAAACATTTAGAGTTTAAAATAAGCTTTTCGCTCAAATATACCAATGAGATAATGAGGTTTATATAAAGATCAGATTAACAAATTATATAAAACATATTTATTAAAAAATCAAGAACATTATAATTATGAGCAATCAGTAATTTTGTCGATCTAAAGTAATTTAGGTTGCTTCTTCAATGTAGTAATATCAAGAATGTTGTCTTCAACACAATTAGCAATTTGCTGTTTCTCTATGTAATCTGAACCTATTGGAAGCAATTGATATTTTTCAAGATAATGTTGAGTGGCTAGGGAAATGTTAGCAGATTTCTGACTAGGTTTCAAAATACTAGCATTTTTATAACTTTGATTCCATTTCATGAGATCAGAGAGATCATCATCCTGTAAATATTTTAGAGCTAGAGCTTGTAATTCCATACTACCATCACTTCTACTTTTCTCAACAGGTGTACATTCTGGATAGGGAGATTGAGATGCTATATTGGAATCAAAATGAATTTTCCCTGGGGCATTTACCTCTTTCAATTCAGAAGAATTTTCATAGACACTCACACCCAATTGCCTAATTTTTTCAATAGTTGCAAATCTGATAGCTTCCACTTGAGGTGTTTTTTGTATTGTACTTCCATTTTCACAAGGAACAGTCTGAAGAAACTTCTTAACATGACCTACTATATTGTCATACAAAGTCCAACTTCCTTTCTGACCATCTTGCCCATTTTCAAAACTCCCATCATTTATAAACCTGCTTTCCTTGATACTGTCAAAAGATGCAGAAGAATGATAGTCTTGAACATGGAGGTGCATTGTGTGAACAGAACTGGGTAATTGCTCGACCACAGTAGGCATACAAACTCCATGCAATGTAAATGATTCTTCAACTGTCTCAACCCCATGAACTGCACTCCAACTAACAGCCCTGTCCTGGATCTTTCTGGTTTTATTCTGTTCATGTTCTTGACCACCACGGATTGGAGGACAGATCATGTTTTGATTATCTACATTCACTTGCTTAGCTGGATTGGTGCAATTCTTCTTGGATGAATTTATAACATCACATACCGATTCTATTACTACTTCACTTCCATCATACTTCTGACAACAAAAATCTACTTTTTCATTTATTATAGTTTGGGTTGAAGCATCTTCTTTCTTGCAATATATTTCTGGTATTGAACCTCTATTTACATGTTTATTAGGTATAACATCTTCTGTGATTCTATTATTACTAAGTTTTTCATTTATTTCACTGAGAATTTTCATCTGATCAGCTTGCATGACTACTACTTGTTGCAATAAGCCTTGTAAAATACTACATTGTTTATGATTCATTAAAGCAATTTCTTTAAGTATACTAGTGTCTGTACACTTTCTGTCATTTTCTTTCCCAGGACTGTCAGGTGAAATGTTTGACACACTATCATAACTTTTCTTACACCTAGCATCTTGCTTCTGAGTATCAGCATAGGAACTTTCCACACCAATTCCTTTTTTAAATAACCTATCTTTTGAAGTAGGCACATTTGTTTCCATTTCACATTTACTTCGGTTTGCATTCAACAGAACGATATCATCTTTAGAATGAGTGTTCCTTTTTATTGTAGATTCATCTTCATTATTTCCAGAATCAGGTCTGTTGTATTCACTACTTTTTCTTGTCACATTAATCTGAGTGTTCAAATGCCTTCCGGTCTGATTATTATGTACATTTTCATTATTAAATTCTCGAACAGATTCAGTATGTGGCTTATTGTGCATGCAACAATTTCCATATTTACATGCATCTGAGGGAGACAAAGTATGTTGTACATTAGAGATCGCAGGTAGAGAATGAGCACTGAAAGTTGTTCTATTGTTGATCATATCTTGAGCTAATACATATTTATCGTTATTTGAGCAACACTGTTGTTTGCCACATGAATAATAGTCAAAAGATTTAGTTGTTGGAGGAAGTCTATTGGAGACACATCCAAGTGGGCTATGACACATCTGACTAGAATGCTGAACGTTTTCAGAGCAATGGTGTTCAGGCATCCGACTTCCATGCAAGTCAGCAACATTTATATCAGTTGCCTTCCTTGATTGAGGATTGGAAGTAATTGAATAATTGCTGCTATTTTGGAAAGTCTGTGGTGTACTTACACTCTGAGCAACGTCTCTCTCATAATTTGGATATGATTTAGCTACATGAACATCTTGTAAATATGAAATATTGTGTGCAAAAGTTGGTTGAGATATTTGATCCGCTGGCATCATTGAGTTGATTCGCACATCTTGCTGTCTAATTGATTTATCATTCATACAACTAGATTTCGCCTGAATATTGGTATTTGTCAAATGCGGATCATTTTCCACAGGGCTACATCTTTCTCCCAATCTTTCATTTTGCAAAGTATTGTACATGTCATGTAACTGTTTTCCAGTAACAACACCATTACCGGCGAACAACTTTGGTGCATTATTTAAATTATGTAATGGCGATTTCTCTTTCAGTTGTATTCGAGACGAAGGCGAAGGACTGAACACAAGAGAAACCTCCGGCACAGTCGATAACGGTACAGGTGCAAAACTTTCAGGGACAGGAGCAGCTCTGGGCATAAGATCGTCAAAACTGCCACTTCTTTTGAAATCCATCCTGAAATATCAATAATTATATCTAAGAAACAGGCAGTGAAATATTTTATATACATTCACAATAAAAGTTTGAAAATCTGAAGGCTACAAAAAAAATCACAAGAGAAGGAACACTCACCTTCGTTAAAGAGAGATTTCTATGGTAAATCAAATCCGTAAGTACAAGCATTAATTGGGACTACGGCATCGAAAGAACACTTGCTGTGATCACTACCGCAGAGGCTGTCGAGCTGCAAGTCACTGCTGGCTACTGGTACTTGTACCGACGATTGCCGCTTTTCAAGCCTTCCCTCCAAATCCGATGCTCTCTCCCTGTCGAATGACAAGAGCGACAAGCACGGCGTTGCAGCTTTGCGAAGCAGTGCATACGTGTAGGGTTGTGCCAGGATAATGTCGCCCGTTCTGTGGAGTTTGTGGCGCCTTGTTTCGTGACAATTCAGTATTTTTATTATGAATGTATTAGTTGCGTACTCGACGTTTTGTGTGCATTAGTATACGTGTATTAATTGTTGTAATTTATTACATTGATTGGAGACTTGAAATGGAGCATCGGGCTAGAAAACGAATCCGTGAAGTGAAGCGGAAAGCTAGACCAGGTAAATTCAATATCTTACCTTTTAATTTTTCTCGTTTATTTCTTTATTTTTGAATTAATATAATTATCCTGTAATATTTATATACTGAAATATTACGACCAATACAGTCTGCAAACGAGACCGTAAAATTTTGAGGTTATGTTACCCAAGCAAATAGAGCTATAATATTTTCTTTAAATACATATTTTCTTCCCTTTTATACAGAGTTGAATGATAAGGGTGATTGGGCACAATTGAATTACACTGAGAACTTTGCCCAATTTTCCAAAGTTGAAGATGATTGCGAGAGAATTAACGTGAATAATTGCTCCCCTCAAGAGTTTATTGAAAAATACGAGAGTAAATACAAGCCAGTTGTTATCTTAGGTGTTCAAGATAACTGGAAAGCGAAATGCAAGTGGACTCTAGAGGTAAAACTTTATAGCCATTGTATAATCTGCTTACTGACTGCTGACATATTTATTCGATTTCGTAATTGACGGTTTTCGTAACTTTGGTTAGAGGCTGGCCAAGAAATACAGGAATCAGAAATTTAAGTGTGGTGAGGATAATGAAGGCTACAGTGTGAAAATGAAGATGAAGTATTATGTTCAGTATATGTTGACTTCCCAAGATGACAGTCCTCTGTATATATTTGATAGCAGCTTTGGTGAGGTACTTTTGTGTGCATTGTTTGCTTGAAGCAGAAAATTACTGTAATGTGTCGAGTATGTTTTATATAAAGTGTTCTTGTGGTGCAGAAATCCTACTTCTGTGTTTACAGCATGCTCGACGAAAGAAGTTACTAGAAGACTATGAAATTCCTATTTATTTCCGAGATGACTTATTTAAGTATGCAGGGGAGGAACGTAGGCCTCCATACCGTTGGTTCGTAATGGGACCAGCACGGTCGGGTACAGGCATTCATATTGATCCTCTAGGAACTAGTGCTTGGAATGCTCTTGTTGTTGGGCATAAAAGGTAATTTACTTTGTTACTTAGTTTCTCAGATCTACTGAAGATTCTGAAGGAAGAGAAGGACCTCTGCATTTATTATCTTATGTAATTGGCATGAACAAAATACAAATTTTCAAACATCACTAAATTGAACAGGGTGGCGTCATGTGACAAAACCTTTGGTCCATCGGAACTCTCATATGTTATTGGAAAGTTGTACTGTTAGTATTTTCTGAAACATGAGTCAGTGTTTCAGTTCTCAATATTTTCTTTTGCATTTTCTTTTAGTTGTTCCCAAATTTGTCTTTGCTCTTAAATATTGAAAGCATTTGTCAGTGTGTGATTGCACTTTTAGGTGTTTGTATTATACATGAGATAATATTAACTGTTTGTAGGTGGTGTCTGTTTCCTACTCATACTCCTAAAGAATTACTGAAGGTCACCTCAGAAGATGGTGGCAAACAGCGAGATGAGGCTATAACCTGGTTTAAAGTCATTTATCCTCGTACTAAACTTCCTAGCTGGCCAAGTGATTGCAAACCGGTAAACATACTTCTATTTCTTAGGTACGGTGATGTTTCTGTTCCACTGGAATACATGGAATTTGAGTGTAATTCTTTACATTGAATTTTACTTTTTACATTTGACCACTGCTTAAAAAGTGGCTTAGTCAGTTTTGCTCCAAAACCAAGAAATAAATGGTAAGATAAGTTACCATTTCCACATCAACAGCTGCATATCTACTTTCCCTTTGAGTTTTAAGCAGGAAACGTTTTCTCAAGTATTTCTTTTCTTTAAACCATATTTAATATTCTTTATTTCTGAAAGTCTATTAATATCCATCTTTACAAATAATTATGGAATATTATACAATGTAATCTGTATATTTTATAATTGCTGATGAGGTCCAGTTTGGAGTAATTGTTACATCAATATTTTCGATCATTATTTTAACTTGCTTAGCATATTGAATGTTAACAGATTTTTCAGGATGAAAAATGTTAACGTTTTCAAGTTGAAAGCTAATGTTTTTTCTTGTGGAGAGAAGTACATTTGATCAGAATTAGAAGTTCGTTATTAGATAAAATTGATCATCTAAAAAATCAAAGAGAGGCAAAATCTGGACAAAAACTGACTAAGCCCTTAGTATAAACGGCATGAAAAGTGAAATGTGTTGTGTTCTCACGCACAATGTTGTGTGTTGTTATTTTGCACAGTGTGTTCCAAGTAATTCTGCTGGACAGAACTATTACTGTTTCAAATTGTTAGAAAGTGATGTAGAATGATAAGCATCAATTCTTCTTAATAGCTTTTACTGATATTGCATGGTGGTGCAGTGTTAGTTATTCTGTCAATACCAATGTTTCTTTGCATGTTCCTGGCATCTGTTTGTCAATAGCTTTGCTCTCATCTATTTGCTGCAACTCTGAAAGGAACTGTTAATAAATTATCTTAATTTTTAAATTAATTGGGTATTTGTTCTTAATTAAGGGGAGAGGGTATCGTTTATACTGCCCATGTTAAATTTGCAACTATTATTTTATCTTTTCTGTGTTTATAGATTTTTTTTATATTTTGCACATATAAGAGAATTTTTTATTATTTTGACATTTTTTAGAGTTAAAAATTCTTTTTTTTATAATTGAAGAATGTTTATATAAAAATAGTGATTTATTGCCAGTACTATAAAGAATGTATCTTGTACATTTTAATAAATTGTGATTAATAGTTTCTGAGAGAAAGTACAATAATAACAAAATAAGTACTTTTTCGGCCGACTCTTGCCGAAAAGACCAAGAAACAAGATCATTTTCAATAACTCGTCAACAATCCAACATGCGTTCAAAATTACAAAAGAATTGTTTGCAGTATAAAAAAAGAGGGGGTGTCTCATGCATACTGGGACATTTAAATAAGAATTGAAGGAATTTGCAGACATTCCAAAAGAAAAATGTTAACATATTCGGAAAGAGAAAGGTTTGAACTATTTATTTAGCCCAAAAATATTGATAATTAGACCCATTTCATAATATTCTTTCCTTTTAAAACACATAATAAACATAAACTTAAATTGTCATAGAGTTTTCTCACTACAATACTGTTTACCAAAAGGTTTTTTGGATTGAAATGAATTGTAGCTGAAGGTTTTGCATGTAGTTAATAGATATTACAGCAACATCTCATATTCCTCTGCTTTCCAGCAAAGAGAACAATATTTTTGATTCTAGATAAAGAAAAATTGGCCATTTTCTATTTCCATAATTTCTAATATGCAGTAATTTTATTACTGCCAACATTTTAGCAATGTCATTGACTCGAGGAAGTTGTAATTTGTACTGATAATTTTTCATTATTGAGAAGTGTCAATCTGAGGCAAACCAACTTTGGTCAACATTATCCTTAAATATTTTCAAATAACATATCTAATTAACAATTTGTTTCAATAGTGAAATTTCTGACTAAAGCATTACTTTTACCTTAAACAGAGAGTTTCCGTAGTTGCCGGTAGTCGTCACCAAGCAATGCAATAGAACAGCATTATTCAAACTGTGAGTCACTCCTTCCCAGGGAGATGGAAACGTTTCAGAGAGAAGATTCAAAAACATAGTAATAATTGAATAAAATTTGAATCCTCAACTATGAATGTTTTCCTTACAGTTTTCCTCACTTCACCAAACATTAATAAAATTCAGCATTTACAACAGCGAATAGTGCAAATCATTTGTGATAATTATTTTGTACAATGTAAGAATGTAATAAAAAAGTATACATGATTGTCTTCCTGTCAGGAAAATATATTTAGTTGTTATTATTAGTTTAATTTTAATGAGGGGAGACATGCACAGAATTTGTTACCAGAAGGAGTTGTGGCAGCAAAAGGTTTGAAATCCATTGCAATAGAGAAACCCCATACAGCCAGGACACCTGACATTTTTCTCTCAAAATTTGGGATCAGGTGTCTTTTATATTTTTTCTTTCTTTTTCTCCTCCTCCGTAATAAAAGAATTTGGTTCAAAAAGTGGATATTGGGGTTTTCTCAAATTCCTTATTCAAATTATAGTAAAAATCTATCATTTTCAATTCATATTTCTTCATTTAATTAAGCTGGTGGCCGTACAACAGCACACGTTTTCTTAAAATAATTAAAGATGTTGTCATTGCCAACAATGTTTTTTAAATTCAATAGCAGCTTTCGATGGCTTAGCCATCATCATCAGTTGTCTGCTAGATGGAAGCCACAAAACGACTACGTAGTCGGCAAAGATATCTTACCACAACACCTACACGTTTTCTTGTTTTATTTGTAATGATTACATAATATAATATTAGTAATAATAATATATTTTTCAAGTAATGAGCCATGTATGACAAGTCAGGAAATATACATAAATAGTTGAACAACTAGTATGTAATATTAGGACGTTAGTATGTAATAGTTGGAGGATAAACATGAACATTCGTGATTTTTGGGAATGACGGGGTCCAAAAATATGTCTTTTGATATGTAATGTCCTAATTAAAAAAAAATTCCTTGTTCATAAATATTTATCTTTGTAAATTTGCGCTTTCTTAGAATGAATTGTGAAATTTCCAGGAAAATGGGATAACTTCATAAGAACCCCAACAAAATGTGCTCAAAAAGTGGTTTAATGAATTTATACAATTTTATTTATACTTTTTACCTATTAATAAACACTGAAAACACATTATAAAAAATGTAAAAAGCTTCAACCAACAATATTCATCAAATCTTGCTTCGAATTATTCCTAGACATTCTTCTACTTGCTTCCTGGCCTTTAATGAATCCCTCTCATTTTGTCATGAGTATACACTTAGAAGCCTCTGTTACTTCTCTCGCACACATTTCTATGGACTGCCCATGATAAGGCCTCTTTGGAACTTGCATTGGTTCTTCAGTTAACTTTCTTATTTCGGAAGTTTTGAGTTAACAAGTTCATATATTTTTTCTGACCAGTCTATCGGGTCCAAAAGAGAAGTTGCATATTGATTTATTGCATTGTTTTCCTGGGCCAAACAGATAGGTCTCCATCAATGAAGATTGTGTATCATCATCCTCACTCCTTAATTCAATTTTTAGGCCCCTGCTTTCCTTTCTTCTTGATCTTCTGAGCATAAAAGTCTTTGAAGCACCATTTCACTAAATGCGAACATAATGAACGTTGAATTGTAAGCAAAACAATATCTGCTACTACCTTCTTCTAAGGTTTTAGAAGCTTTAATTTGAAAAAGAATATGTCAGGTTCTTTCCACCCAAGACAATTTTGATTTGATTGTTATTCAGTAGGGATAGTAAACTCCAACAGTGTATTACACAAGCAGTTGTAACATCTACAAGTTCTTGCCTTTAAGGCCATATTTTGAAACCCATATGCTATTTACAGTTGTTAATCACTGAGATTTACTTACAGAACCAATTTCTAAGAATTTCAGATTAGTTGGAAGGACACCTGTGAGAGCATAGGCTTCCACGGCCAGTCAGTATCTACTAGGCTTTCCGGGTGACATCGCGTCCATGGTGAAGGTGCCGACGTTTCGGTCGCCATTCTGCGACCTTCCTCAGAGTGTAATGCGCCCGCATTGGAAGGACACCTGTTCTTATAGCATGAGTTATCGTGGAACCAATGGCTCTAGAAAGGATATGACAAATGAGGGATTGATTTTGCCACTGTTGCAGTATCAAGCATTTTGCCAATTGTATCACTCCACTTGTTAGACAAAGTTTGTCCATTCAACTGTCATCAAGTGCTGCAAAGATACCTCATTGTTATGGAGAGCACAAACCAACCAGATGAGTTTACAATTTAGCTTTACTCAACCCAATGCACGACTTCTCCTTCCCAACTAGTGTTAACATTAGTTTCTAGTCACCACCAATAGCCAGCAAACTTTTATCAATGCTGTTTTTCTTTACGAATTCCACATGATGGTTATCGATAATTTCATTAGGTGTCCTTTATGTTAAGTCTTTCTCTGGATTAAAATAGCAAAGATACCTTCCACCTGGCTCATTGCAAATAGTGAAATGCTCTTCTTTCACAATACTGATGACTTGAGTTATAGTACAGCCACCAAACATGCAGCTGTTGTTAGATCAACACCATACCTAATACTTTGCAATGCAACATTGCACAATTGTAATGTATTACAATGTCTTGTACTTGAAGTAGAAAGTACAACTGAGTCATCACAAGGAATCTGCTATGGATCTTCAGAATCTTCATCCCTAACATCAGTTGGGTCTTTATCTTTGTCGAAGAAAAGTACTTCATTTAGTTGTAATATTAACTCTTCCTTACTTTTCTGCTTATGGTCAGAAATTCTTCTTAATTCATCTTCTTGCATCCGCTTGCCGTTTCTGCTTTTTAATTTGTTTTCTGCTCTCAGGTAGATCTGGTAATCCAATTGGATGCTGTCCAAAAGATCCAACTTCTTTCTGACTATTCATAAATAATAGTTCTTTGACAGGGATCTTCATATCCTTGGAACAAGAGCAGAAGATGTGGATTTTGTGCTTACAATCAGCACCACCTGGACGTGGACCCTCAAATTCTGGATTAATTTCACATTTGCAATTGAGGAAGAGCTTGTCTAACGTTGCTACGAAAGCCATTTTCGCTTCCAGTTTTCCTCTACCAAATGATATGATTTTAACCTTTTCCCAGTTTTCTTCTTTCTTCGTCAGGACTACAATTTTCGAATTTAAAACTGACGGCACAAAAGAACTGTTTGCTAGATCCCACTTTTCAAGTACCTGTGGATAAATATCCTTTGCAAGAGTGTCAGCTTGGCCAGTCTGTCAACTGTCTCTGGCTGTCAACTCAGCTCTCTTAGTAGGAGCCCATATCTTAGAACGATACGCAGAGGTGGCAGTTCAGAAGGCAGCATTTCTCAACCAGTTTCAATAAAGTTTCTCGTGTGAATGGAAGTTGACAGTCTTGCCTTCCATTTACTAGCCATGGTTCTGAATTTTCAGATTTTTCAAACGGAAGAAATTATTCATACCTGGAAAAAGAAAAACAAGAAATTGTCTCTATTTGTATGATATTCTTAAAAATTAATAAAAAGACATTCAGCTCCAAATGAATATTGTTTGTTTGAAAACTTTTACGAGTTGCTAATTATTTTTACAGATGTTGTATAATATAAGTATATTCCTAACCTTGGAACAGATATAGAGACAGAAATAATGATAAGAAGGCATTTTTTGAGAGAACACAGTTTGCTGTGAATTTGACTTAAAACATTACTAATTGAAGCAGCTATTTACCAAGCAAGCCAATGTAATTCTCACTTCCTTTAAATATAATTGTGAATCATTAACGAAAAAATCTGGACCTGTTTTTGAAAAAATCTTAGTTAGAAGTTCTAATTTCCCTTAAAATTACACAAAAGGTACATGTGTTTTCAAAAAAAAAATTGTAAATGTAAAATGTAAGACATTTAAAGCACCTTCAGTAATGAAGATGCAGGAGAGGGTCAAAAATTTTTTAACTTGAGCAATGTGGCAATTGAGTGGTTTTAATGAAAATCAGAACGGTGCCTTAGTCAGCATACTTTCAAGCAGAAAATTTAGAAAGCGTCCTAGAAGCTAAATGTTAAGAATCCCATTAAGTTTAAATTTCCGTAATTTTCATATTTATTAGAGAATATCAGTTTTGGTGTAAATTCCTTTTTCAATACAGTTCAGGTGCTTGTGTTGTTCACATACAGATGGGGTCGACAGATGTTTAGAAGAAAGGAAAAAGAAAATAAACACTCTATTGATATCAAGGATTTGTTTAGAATTGCACTCTTCAAATAAAGAAAATAAAGTTAAAAATTAAATTGTTGAAAATTTTGAGTTCAAATTTCTTTCTAGGCACACAAGAAAGAAATTGTATTGTTGGTAGCAAAAAAAATTGTGGGCTACTTTTAAGTTAAAATTTATTATTTGGTTTACAATTTATATTGAATGATAGCACAACAAAATTAAAACTTAGACAATTTGTTAAGATTTTTTTATTTTATTTCTTTTACTTCTTTTTGGAGCTTTTTTTTATGTTGCTTCAGTAAAAAAAGACTATATTTGATATGTTATTGTTGTATTATATTTATTTGGTATGTTATTATAATTATAATACATTTGTTGATTATGGTTTGTTTACAATGTAAGGATGTGAATATATGAATTAAGGTAGTCTTTTAGTTTCCTGACATGTGGATTAACCTACATAGCATTCAAAATTTTTCATTTTGTTTTGAACCCTTAATTTTGTTCTTTGAAAATAGCAAAGCTGTGAAAAAGAGGGCATTAACTGAAACTGAGGGTACATTGTATGCCAGCTACTTCACTAATTTCTTATAGTGGTATCAGTAATAATGTTCAAGAATGTTTGTGTATTTTCATTATTTGAATTTGGTCTGAAAATATTTATCAATTCTTGTTTGTAGGTTGAGATTTTGCAGAAGCCAGGTGAAACAGTATTTGTTCCTGGGGGTTGGTGGCATGTAGTGCTAAATCTTGATACAACTATTGCTGTTACCCAAAACTTTTGTAGCCGCACCAACTTCCCTATAGTATGGCATAAGACTGTTCGAGGAAGACCAAAACTTTCTCAGAAATTTTATAAAGTATTGAAGGTGAGTAGTAACTAATATGCATTGCTACCACTCCACAGAATTCTTAAGTGTTATTATTCTTAACAGTTGAAAGGATTATTGAGATTTATTGATTACATTTTCTTTATCACTACTCTGCATCCCAACAGTACTGATCTGTACCTTTTTTCTTTGTACAAAATACATTTTTTTGGATTTGTAATTCCTAGTCTCTGAAACTGAAATATTCTTTTTAATAATTTTCATGAATTATTATTCACTTTTAAAATTAAAATACTTCGAAGAATTATCACTTCAACCATGAATTAAACCCTAGTCTTCTGGTTTATGCCCTGTGGGCTGTAACCACTGAGTTACCAAGATCAATTCTTTGAATGATTTCTTATACTGGATGTATTGCACAGTATAATAATTGTCACCAGTTGATACAATGGAATGTTATTCATTTTTGTTTGAAATTCTTGTAGAGTGAAATATTGTGAACTCAAGCTGCTTTTCTATTTTTCGTAAGGTTTCATTGTGTGTTGTAAGTTTATTGTATAGTTTGTTGTTGTGTTGTAAATATATTGTAGAGTTCTCACATTTTCCATATTCTTATCTTGCATTTTTATCTTGAAAGATGATTGAATTTCTCCTATCTTAGCTTAGTCTCTTCTTTTTACTTGTGCCAATTTTTTTCCCCTAAGAGAAGTTAAATTAATAAATATACTACTGAAGTAATTTGTGTGTGTATGTAAAAAGAGTTAGAATTGAATGCAGCTTGAATGATAGTAAGACAAAAATGGACATGTATTTATTTTCTTCTTGCATTATTCAGAGGGATGACTAGAATTGACACATTTTGAATTTGGGTGACAATGGAATTCTTAGTAGTGCTGGTGTTAATTTCCAGGAGAAAGAACCAGCTCTTGCAGCTGTTGCTGATAGTATAGATCTGTCAAAGGGCACAGGTGTTGCCTCAGACAGCTCAAGCGGGTCTACTTCTAGCTCAAGTGATTCAGACGATTCATCATGCTCTTCCTCAAGTAAAAGTGAAGATGATAGTGGCCAGGAATCTCTGTCTGCTCATAAAAAAAAGAAAAGGTTAATATCATAACTTTACAAAGCATTGATTATCAGTGTTATTAACCGAATGTGATACAAGTAGAATTATTGTTCTCAAATCTTCTAAGAATTTAATTCTCATTGTAGGAGGAAGTTAAATCAATCACCAAAGACTTACTCATAGATGCAGCTACCTTAGCTAATAATGGTAAGTTAGTACAAACTAAAAAATATATTTGATTCATTTAAAGAATTGTCTTTTTTGTATGTATTGTATTATACATGAATATGATTAAACTGATTCACTATTGCTTAATTTCCCAATTATATTTACTAAAAGTAGAATATCAATTTACTATTTCATATTTTATATTAAATGTTTGCTTGTTATTCTCTTCTAGAGAAATGTGTTACCAAATGTGTCTCAACTGTTATTATGCAGATCGACATCTGGAAGGCACACTGTATACGACAGATGCTTAAATGGTTGAAGTTAGATCAAAGGTTGTTCAGATGTGTCAAAATGTATGCAGAACTGTGCACTATATTGTCTTTTCTGCTTTGTGTAATCAGTATGTGTTCAAGAAATGAGTTTTATATTGTTTCTTAGAACTATAAAAATGATTTAATCATCAGACGAATGTATGCAAGAAAAGTTTACTATTGTATTTTGAAATGTGGATTAAAGGCAATTGAAACAAATCTTATTCCATTTGGTTTTGGGTGTATATCCTTATCAATTTGTTCATGTAGTAACTGTTCTTAATTGAACAGATTTAAGTTGCATGTTGCATTTCTTTTGTGGTTGTTAATTGCAAATAAGCACTGCATTTATCTCTTAAGTGTTATTTGTATCTTATATAATTTTTAATTGCATACTACACCGTTCCTGTGTATCTAAACATTTCCATGGCAAGAATTCAAGGACAAATGTGTGAAACATTTTCTAGATGATACATTCTAGTTTTTATGAAGTTTATATGAGTTTATGTTCAGAAATCTGCATTATAATTTCAATGTTTGTATTATTTTAATTTTTATCTTTTTCTAGTGGTCTTCAAACAAATGATTTGAAACGCACAATTTGAAGGTCCTCTTTCAAAAATGTTTTAATTATATTATATGAATTACAATAATAAATTTGATATATTTCATACTTTTTACACAACTTACTTCAAATTGAGAAATAATAAATATAAGAAACCATTTTTTCATGTTTGAAGCACCTACTGTTTGCAAAGGACTATTGATTATTTATTACTATTTGATAATGGATGATGTGATTTGAGGTACAGTGAAACTCGTATTTAGCAACTGCTGTTGGTTCTGTGATAAAGTGATCTCTTCTTGTGTGGTGGTTGTTTAATTGAGAGAATCTTTTCTTTTTGGAGGAAAAAACAAACACCAAACAAACTTCCAGAGCACTGGGCACAGATTCCAGACAAAATCCAAATGTTGCATTTTAGGAGGCAAGTTGAAACTCTTGCTTGTGTTACATCTTGGTTTGTCATAGCAGATGTTCTTCCAGGAAATAAGGTAAGGCAAGCTATAAGAATTCGAGAAATAAACATGGCTATAATCATATTTACCATCTCATTAGCAGAAATGAAATTGAAAGGAAATGAGAAGTTGTGGTTCCATATCAGTGGCCACAGTATTTTGTTACATGATTCATGGAATCCTGGCTCCTGTTTTCCTTGAGGAATGAATCTCTGGCACAGAATATGTTGAATAATTGCTGTTTATGACTCAAATTTTTAGTGTAACTACTAAAAATTCAGTGTACTGTATTTTTAATTTTTTTCTGAAAGTGGTCTCTTAAAGGGGGTTGTTTGAGAAAATTGTTATTAAGGTCAATGGTTGGGAGAGGAGTGATTGAACAGGGGCACGATTTATACCCAATATGATAGTTTCAATGACTTCCAAGAATAATCTTGTTAATGGGGTGTTTTTTCAGTTTTATTGCATACACTTTTTAGTTTTCATGAATTTAGCAAATTTGAATGAGGTAATGTAAATTTTAATGCAATTTTCATTGAAGTGAACCATGTTAAATGTGCTGTGTTTTAAGGACTTCAAAAAGCAGTTATACAATTTGTGTACATGTGTTTGTTCAGCCACAATTTAACTGGCAAATGAACTTCAATTTAAATTAGTGGCACCACGTTAATTAATGTTAATTTGAAAATGGGGTCGAAGTATATCTTAGTAAACAATGTAGTGCAATACTTAAGCAGTGCGAACACACTATCTAAACCAACTTGTTCAACTTGCAAGACCACGACTAAAACACCATATCATTTTGTCCGTTGAATTTGTCACTGGGAGGGAAGGGGGCAATGGCACCATGCGTGATATCAGGTCGTACCATGTGTAACGCAGTAAAACACATTTGGTTGTTTTTTTTTTTTTTTCAATTTCTGGATTTATTTAAAAATATCTAATCTTCACTTTTTTTACATTAAAGGAGTTTTTCGCCCCGGCAGGGCACATGTGCTAGACTTCACCTTTTGCGGGCCACAATAAAAGGCCCTGAAATTCGCCTGTTGGACAACCTTGACCTAGACCAGCATGTTCAACTTTCAAGGGCCACAACTAAAACCTTTAATATTGTCGCGAGAGCATAAATAAGGATAAGAAAAACATAGTGCCTTTTTAAATGATTATTTAGTTGGACAACCCTGATCTAAACCATATGCAGCACTTTTTTCAAACATTGTCCTGCCTGAACTTCAGGACCTAGAAAAGTATCTTTTAATATGTCGTACCCTTATATGAAACTTAATTTCAAAATTTTCTTAGAAATGGCCCCAGATTTTTCTTTGAATTTCGTGTTGAAGTAGATCTAAGTGTGCTTACAGCTGTCACAAAAATTTCATTCAATTGTTTTGAAAATTGCATAAGTTGAACTTGTATGAACTTTTCCTACTTATTCATTATTGAAGTAATAGATGTTTTCCTTAATTTAAACCATTTGCCAGAAGTAGCACTTAAAGGTTTTCATGTACACTTTCAAAATTGTAATAGGTTTTGCATCATTTTGAATTAAATCGTAAATTTTAGTAAACGGTAACAATATTTTCTCAAAAGGATTATTCTATGTCTAGTCTAATTTCAGAGAAGTTTCCCATGTGACCATTCCAGATTTTGATAAAATTTTGTTTTGCTCAGTCCCACAGGTGTCAAAGGGAGAATCTGAATTTGCAGCTTCATAGGTGAAATTGTTTTGGAAATGTAATGCCGCCTCAACGTTATTATACAAACTAAAATCTAATTTTTGATGCAGCCAAAATCCGTGTTATTTCGCCTTTTTCACGATCGGATCACTACGCAAATCGCTATCGCACAGCTACGAAATTGCTCGCGGCTCCAGATTTTCAAAGAATGCGATCTCGTCGCGTCTTAAATGGGCCAATCGGATTCCGAGAAATTACTACAATGTGCAAAACTTATTCGCCGGCAGGCCAGGCGGTGGTGCGATCTACCGGTCACTTTCGGAGGCAGTTCAAAGTTTGTTTTAAAGTTTCATTCGAAATTAATTCTTGCTCCTTGTGAGAGAGAATTCTTGGTTTCCGGGGCCAAATATTACCTCGAAGGCACGACGTTTGAAATGAATATTCTTTCCTTCAATAACCTCAAAGAATTGTCGAAATGAATGAGTTCTAAGTGTGGCGGCAAATTTGTATCAATTTAGCTTTTGACGTGCTTGAACACAGCCCAAGGCGCATGGTATTACTACAATGGCTAGCATTGGTTGTAATGAATAGTGGTATGAGCGACCCAGTGTGAAATGGGACGTCAAAAAATGACTAGACCAAGATTTGAATGCGTTTAGTTTAAACCAAATGAATTTTTTATTTATTAATTTGTTAAACCGAATGCTTAGATTTTTAGGAGCCCGATACAGAGAGATTCGCGTTCCCATGCCCGGAGGTAGAAAGAAAAATCAATGAATCGAATGTCGGGCGTAGTGCCTGGGCAATTCGAAGAAGAGAGAAAAATTGAAGAAAAAAACAAACACGATCATTGTGCGAACGAGTGACACAAAAATTCCATTTATGGCGTGTGCGTCCAATATAAGGGAGAGAAGTCAAAATAAAATAGGAGAAAAATAATATAAGAAAAACAAATTAAAATGTACGAGGATCACTTCAAAAATTTTGAGAATACTATATTTAAAATTGAGATAAGTTCTTACCTTCACATCTTCTCGAAGTACTCTCCGCTACACTCTATGCAACGTTTCATCCGATTAAACCAATTATCAAATGACGATCGCCACACTTCTTTAGAGATAATGCGAATCTGATCTGCATATGCCTGAGCTGATTCCAACGTTGACCTCGATTTTTTTCTTTCACATAAGGGGAAAAATGTCACGCGGGGCCAGATCTGGACTGTAGGGTGGATGAGACTGTGTTTTAACCCTTGATTCTGTCAGAGATTCAGTTGTTGCTCTGGCTGTGTGGGATGAGGCGTTGTCATGGTGAAGCAGGATTCCACGCAAACCTGATTTTGGACGGTTCTTTCTCAGCTCTTCAAACAATTTGGGTAAGCAAGTAGTGTACCATCTTGCAGTGACTGTCTTTTGTTCCTCGAGTGGCACTGTCACAATATGACCACTGCAGAACAGAAAAAAAAAAATCATCATTTGCCAACGCTTCTGCGTTTCTCACTTCGTGAGAGGATTTTCATCTGGAAGACCACACTGATGACTGCCGTTTCATTCTTGATCAAATTATAAATCCAATTTCGTTCACCCTCACCCATGGGTTAATTTTTTTTTTTTTTTTTATGTTCTCCCCATTAACTTATCCAAGCACTCCATCAATCCACTCCGCCCTTTTTTTGTTCATTTACAAATTGTGAGTAATCCAGCGACACACAGCTTCCTAAACGTGAACTTTCTTTCAGATCTCTCACTTCTGCTATCCAATATTTAAACTTCCTGAATCTGAGCATATGTACAACGAGGGTCTTCCCTTAGCAAATGTTCCACTTTCAGCACATTTTCATACTTGCTGCGTTGGGCCTGTCAGAACGGTCTTCATCTTTCAGAGAGTCCCCTCCCCTCTTGAATTCGGCAAACCATCGATAGACAGTGGCATGTGAAGGGCAACCAAACGCACGCTGTAATCTCTCGAGGCATGATTTCTTATCCAAGCCAACCTTAAAGTCATACAAAATCATAGCTCGGAAATGCTCTCCCTATAGGTCCATCGTTACTGGAAGAGGAACAACAACTAATAGAACACAAATAGCCCTTCTAAGTTAATAAATTACCCAAGCGTGTTCAAACGCGCGAGATTCTTACTAAAAGTTCCACCTACTAATGGAAATAGTTTCATTGTTGCTCATTCTGAAAATTTTTGGAGTGACCTTCGTACTTACCTCATTTTTTATTAATGAGCGAATTTGTGACTCGAAAATTCAATTTTTTGGCTTGGCAAGCCGCCAATGCGAAGGAAAAAAGATTAAAAACTGAAAAGAATAAAAGTAGGTTAGTGATCGATGCATTAAGGCACCACTAAAAAGACTGAGCGAGACGTGTCGCCAACACGATTGAAGTGTCAAAAAAGGAAACGAACCCAGTACCTATGATACTATTAAACAACGGAGTTTGGTACATCAGATATTTACAAATATCAACTGTCTATACGAACTATCTTGCAAGACCGCCTTCTTGAATTGGTTATTGTACATCGTTTTGTAAGTTACCAGCCCACGCCTTGTGAAGCGACGCTCATCTTTTGGTTAGTGACCTGTAGGCTGTTTGGTTTCCGGTGCGTGTGCGAAAGAGCATAGAATGCGTCGCGCCATGCCGCCGAACTTGTAATTCTCTTCTACAGTTGTGTTGTTTTGAAGAATGGTGAAATATTTACTATGCGAATTCAACACACTTTTTTTTGTTTTGTATTATTATTTTTAATGTTATTTTGTAAAACAGATATCTGCTACATTTTCGAAATAAGATTTCTAGAATAAGAAGTAATGTTACACGATATTTTATTTTCGTAGATTAAGTACTATTTAGGAGTATGTCAGTCATGTTTTTGTTCGGAAGGTCTTGGGCACAACATGATTAAAATATAAATAAATACTACCCAAATATTAAAATATTCTCTAATTCGTTAAATTCGAAGAAATTCTTTGTATTATCCCTACGTGAAGATACATTTGAATAATACCGAAATAAATAAAATAGCCATTTGTATTTAATTTTCCATTTACCAGACAGGGCTTTTGCTATCTAATTCTTGGAAATTCAATAATGCACCGCGTCACTCATATCTTTCTATGAACACCTTTTCGTGTCCGAGGTGTTCTTTTGATATGTATGAAGACATTTAACTTTACCATTGGTTTCGAAAAAAATATACTACCTCCCCAGGAGTCACCGCCTTAAAGTAGCACAGGCCGTGCGGGTGAGGTTTGCGTGCTCTCATGAAGCTGAGGGCTATGGCAGGGCTAGAAGTGTTGATGGGTTGAAGAGTCGATTAACTTATTACTGGTCGGGTCACCCAAGCTGTACAAACCTCAACGGGGCGATGTTGCGACCAGGCGAAGGGATGTCTCACGACGATCTTTCGGTTGCTTTCGATGTCCTGACGCTCGCACAATTCGCGCTAAACCTGTATCAAATACCGCTCCGCCTACCAGGCCCACCATTGTTGCCAGTGGTACCCTTTTCTAGTGTGACG